ATGACATGCATCTCCTATACTAACCTTGTTAATGGACTTAATAAACACAACCCATAACAATAATTAACATAGATATTGGAAATCTCAAACACCCATCCTCTATCTTAGGAGTTCAAGAAGATTTAGGGTGGAGAATCATCACAATCCAACAAAAACACCAATTCCATGTGCATCCATAGCTAATCTTGAATTCTTGCTCCAAAATAGTGTACAAAATGAACGAAACATATCTAATTTGATGCTAAGATAAGAGAACCCTAGAACACTAAGCTTAGAGTGAGTTTGGAGAGTCAAAAGTCTCAAATCCGTTTGCAAAATATCAATTTATAGCCATTGACATCGTGGGGACCAAAGTGGTTAAGTGGGAAAATTTAAGGGCTGAATAGCATTATGTGTGTGGGCTTATTCGACATTTTTGAAACTTGAGGACCACAATTTGTGTAGCTTTTTCATTCAAGCAAACAGAGGCCCTTCTACGCAAATCTGCTGGGAAGGGAGGGTTAAGTTTGTAATTGTTTAAAAATTCTTTCTTCTTCCCCTTTGAGGCCGCCGGAAGCCATCAAAATCCTCTCGCCAGAATCCAGACAGATCTTCGTCGTTCCTTCATGAAAATGGACAAAACCTATACCAAAATGCTCTCCAAGATCTCCTCTATCACTACCATAGAATCGTTTGGGCTGTAATTTGTGTTTCCAGATCGAATTCAAGGAGCTATAGTGCTGTATCCAAAGTGCTTGTTGAAATTCTCTCTTTTCCAGTCTAATTAAGCAATTTCTTTGCCCTTTTTCTCCTGCATAGAGTTTGAATTTAGAACTTCTTTCTTCACAAAAGTTGTAGATCTTTCTTTTAACTTCCAAATGATATCTTGAACACTAAAATTGGAGTTGTGGATCGAGATTTATGGCCTCTGACAGGTGGATGAGGTTTCCAGAAAATCTGCAAATTTTCTGAGCAGAATCGGTGACTGAACTTCATGTACATTTTTTACCATTGTATCATCTGAAAGTTGTCTTCATGACATTTATAGCTCTCTCTTTCTGCTCCACAATGGTATAAAGAACTTCCAATTACGAGCTTTGAAGATCAAGTTACGCTCTCTGCAATTTGACTAATTGTTGCTGAACTTCGGCAAATTCAGGGTTTAGTTCTAACAACTGAGACTTCAACTGAAGTTCTGATCATTAAAAAGCCTGAATTTGAAGAAGCGTTCCACATGAAAGTTGTAATTCCCACTCTAAGCTTTGTAGGCGTATTTGGTTGGTTCCAAACGGCGGCTTCTAGCTCAAGTTATGAGCCCTTCAAGATAGACCATTTGACGTTGATCATCACTTGAACTTTTGGTCATCTGATTGATATTTTTGCTCCATTTCCGAACCATTTTGCATGAATCATTTGTTCTACAATGGAAGACCATAAAACATAAGATATGTGCATTTTTACATGGTAACACCATACAATGAGTCTATATTTAAGTAAAAGAGGTATGAAATCACATATATATTTGATTCACATCAAGTACTATCTCAAAGGACAACCATTCTGGGACTACAAACCCTTGCAGAATGGCAGTTGGGCATGGAGGAAGTTAATGGGCATAAGAGATTTGTTGAAACCTGGTTTCCTGAATAGAGTTTGGTTAGGTAATCAGAATGGGCTATATTCGACTAGCTCTGGTTATAAATGGTTCAAAGATGGGGGGTCAGAAATTCTTTCCAGCTTCTATAGTTTGGAGCTAGTACACGCTTCCAAAGCATAGTTTTATCTTTTGGTTGGCAATGAAGGGCCGGTTACTGACTGCTGAAAGGTTGCAAAAGCTGAACATTATAATGCAGCCACTATGTGGGCAGGAAGTTGAAAGTCTTGGGCATTTATATTTTCAGTGTGGCTATACAAAACATCTATTGCAGAAGTTTACAGAGTGGCTGGCATGTAGCAGAGTTCCATAAAAAAGCTAGAATTGTGGGATAGTAAACTCAGGAAAATATAGCGTCAAAGTAAGTGTAAGCAGCGAATTTTATTTGGAGCTATGGCAACTGTAGTGTACCACATTTGGCAGCAGAGGAATGCAATATTGCATCAAACTAGGTTAGACAACATAGATGAAGTGGTAGGCCGGATTAAACATGAAATCAGTTGTAAAGTGCAGGTCTGCTGTAAAAAATATAGGCCAGTGAAAAGACACTATATTGAAAAAATAGGAATCAAAATATAGTAGAGTTTGAAGAGGAGATGATCTAATGGACAGGATCATGTTTGTAAACAGTTCCAGATTTTGACAAGTTAATACAATTGACCTTTCACCTAAAATAAATTAATGGAAAAAGATAAAAAGACATAACATTAAATGACCAAATGTAACACATAAAGTCTCTTCATTTTCTTGTTTAAAAAAGAGGGGGGAAAAATCTTAGTTACTAATTAAAAAAGACTACTAATGAATTAATTTGTTCATATATAGTCTTAAAAAAATAGAAAATCAATGGAAGAAGATCAAAAGTCATAACGTTAAAGGAATACCAAATGTAACACATACAATCTTTTCATTTTTTTGGTTTTAAAAAATGAAAAAAGTCCTAGTTATTATTACTTAAAAAAGGACTACCAAACTCAAATTTACATTAAACAATTATAATATATGTTGATTGATTTCCATCATGTCTTCACGTAATGGACTACCAAAAGTTTTTCTACATTCTTCATTTATTAAATATGTTAATAATAATAATAATAATAATAATAATAATAATAATAATAATAATAGGAGGTTAATAATAAATTAAAATGATGATTAATTAATAGGTTAATAAATTATCAGAAAATATCCTTCAAACATGTGGTAACTTTAGAAATCCTAAACCGTAATGGACTACCAAAAGTTTTTCTACCGTCTTCATTTATTATATCTGTTATTATTATTAATTATAATAAGTTCATAATAAATTAAAAATGATGATTAGTTAATAGGTTAATAAATTATGAAAACTATCCTTCACGCATGTGGTAGAATACTACCAAATCCAAACTTGTTTTTTATTATATAGGTAGATAGACAAATGAAGAGAGTAAGGAATGGCAAAAAAACTTCCCCCATCGTGCTTTCTCTCCCCTCTCTCTTCTCTCTCGCCTAAAACCCCTCGAAACACCAGTGGCTGGGGGAGCTACTTTCCGCAACCATCACCACTTTTTCTCAATAAAAAAAAGGAAAAAAGAAAAAAGAAAAAAAGAAGAAGACCTGCCTCCGCCGCCCCTGCTGCCCCTGTTGCCACTCTCTGCTCGGCACCCAGATCGACCCACCGCTTCTGTCCTTTGCTGCCATCCCTCGAAACCCATTCAACTGATGTACGCCAGAAGCCATCGCTGCATCCTAGATCTGACGGAGTTCATGCCGAATCGAATTTGGTTATTTTTTTATGGTTGTGTTTTAATTCCATTAAGTGGGATAGTCCACCCTCAATATAGATCTCGAATTGATTCTTTACTGAGCGAATTTAGTGCATCAACGGAACCGAGTCCGTTGGTCGAGTTCAAATTTGGTGTGTGTTGTTCGACGTTAATGACGACAAATTTGTGCTTCAATCTGAAGAATAGTGATATATTCGAGTTCAGAATTTTATTTTGTTCCGTGATATGTCCAACAATAGAATTATATCATTATAGGATTGTTAACCCTTTTGGCAGTTGTATTGTTCTAGTCACTGGTGCAGTGACTAGTATCGTAAGTACGCCATTAGGACGGTTCGAGTACACCATTTTGGGTAGTCTGTTCTTGTATCAAATGGTGTTGGACCAGGGGCAGAGCCAAACCTCCTACATATGATGAGGCAAAATTTTTTAAATTTCTAATCTAATATACTTGCCCCTAATATTTTCAATTCAGTTGGGGCAAAAATTGATTTTTTTAAGGAAAATTCTAAAATTTCAAGAGGTTAATAGCAAAAAAAAATTTCTAGTTGGGGCAATTGCCCCACTTCCCTTGTATGTAGATTTGCCTTTGTTCTGGACCATTTCCAGTAATTTTAATGAAGTTTATTTTCCTAAAAAAAAAAAGAGAGAGAATAAGGGATGACAAGAAAATAAGATCAATCATGTAACACATATCATAATCCATTTTTTCTTATCAAAGTATCACGATTATTATTGAAGAATCGTTTATCTGTGTATTTAGAGATTTTAGACTATAGAGTTTTTAGCATGAAAGAAAGAGATTCATCATTACCCGACCAAAAAGTTAAGAAAAAAGATCTATAGAAATTTGTATAAGTTGAAACTAAAAGAGTTATAATTGTATTTTTCAGACATAAATTAAACTCAATATTCAAATTGTAGATCTTCACCCTGATTGCGATCTTCACCATTTTTATAATGATTTGCTAAAGAAGAAACTGAATTTGTTAATGTAAAGAATTATTGAATCTGAACTCCTTATGAAATATGCAGCAAGTCATTACATTTTAATACTCTTACGTATTTACACACTCAATATCATCTATTTTTTTTGATAACGAGAGTTAAAAATGTTAAAATAGGTGCAACATTTTATCCATTTCATCACAGCAATTGTTCAATTTTTAAGATTTGGCCTTCCGATCCAATATTTGAAAATCAGTTTTCCAATTTGACAATTAAAAATGGGATGCATAGAATAGCACAATGAAATTTCACATCTCATTATTATTATTATTATTATTATTATTATTATTATTATTATTATTATTATTACTACTACTACTACTACTACTACTACTACTATTATTTTGTCATCTCATATAACTTAATTTAAGCATTCTTTTTTCTTTGCAAAAGCAAAATGTTATTTTTTTACTCTTGAAAACTCAAATGCAAAATAGGCTAAATAATAACATTCGTTATCCAAAGATTGTAAATTATTGATATTATATTTTTTAAAAAGGATATTCAGAACAATACCGTAGTCCGAAAATTAATTGTCTAATTTGCCCTCCTAATTTTTCATTTATTTTTTGCATCCGAGAAGTGAAGAACAAAAATAAAATGCTTTGTTATTATGAAAATAAAAATAATACAATTCCTTATTAATTCATTCATGTCTTCTTCTTCTTCAACATCGCATCGACAAGGAAATTAGAATCAGACCCTCCATTGCCCGAGTCCAATTTTCCAGTAATCCTTCATCTTCTCCTATTGTTTTCCCGATTCAAAACCCTAATCTTGACAGTCAAAGAGTCTGTATGCAGGAAAGCTTAGATTTTTAGTAAATGGTGGGTTCCTCGATTATGAACTGATCTGAACAATTTATTTGAAAATTCTCGCGGTATGAATCTTTGATTTTGCAATGGGGGCGACGGGTTCTAAGCTGGAGAAAGCATTGGGCGACCAATTCCCTGAAGGCGAACGATATTTTGGGCTCGAGAATTTCGGCAATACTTGTTACTGCAATAGCGTCCTTCAGGTTTCGGATTGTTTTTTTTCTTATTATTATTCATTTGATTTTGCAATTTAGGAAATTGTTCATTGGTTATGTGTGTTTTCTTTTGGCTCCTTCTCATTGTAATTTGGTCAATGTGTTTCCAGGCACTTTATTTTTGTGTACCGTTCCGGGAACAGTTGATAGAATATTATACGGATAATAAGAATCTTGCTGATGCTGAAGAAAATCTCCTGACTTGCTTAGCTGACCTTTTTATGCAGGTATTGTAAGAAAATTTTTAATTCAGCTTTTGGAAGTTTTTGCTTTTTTTTTTTTTGTCCTGTGTGATTTAGCATATCAGTTTTTGTGTATTTGATAGCATTATGTTTTGGGTTGTTCTTCAAACTTTTATTTCTTCCAGTAATGCTTTGGTAATCTAGTTTAAGAATTGAGTTAGTGAGCCTGTGAAGATCAATACACTCTTTCTGCATTTGAGAGCTCTGGCTATTCCTTTTTTCTTTGTAGATAAGCTCGTCTAAGAAAAAAACTGGCGTGATTGCCCCGAAGCGCTTCGTGCAGAGACTGAAAAAGCAAAATGAGATCTTTCGCAGCTATATGCACCAGGTGTGTATTCAAAGTGGATTACTTTGCCCTCGCTGAAAGTGTTGCTGTTTCTGCCAACATATTGCTTCAGACTAGGATTGTTGCACAGATGTCCATGATCTGTAACCTTTTCCTTTGAAATGCTTATTATAGGATAATGGTTTGCATTTGGTAACCTTTTCCTTTCAATAGCTTCCATTAATTATGGACCCTTTTCTTTTAAAGGAACTTATGAGGGGCAGATGTTGGTAGCCACCAATTTGCATAAAATTAGAATCACATGTTCCGTTTCTAAGCTGCTTGCATTCTAAATTTTTCCTATTCCGTGCCGTCGTCAGCATGTTATTTTATATATTTGCCTTTTGTGTTTTTTTTGGTGTGGGTGGGGTTTTTTTTTCTGGGTGGTGGGAAGTGTTGCGGGTTGGGTTCTTCTGAGGGTCAGCTTGTTTTGCAATTACATCTCATGATAACCGTAAAGGTTACTCCTTTCGGTTAGCAGGCTGGAGTGCTTTCTTTGTTATGTTCTCATTTTCTCCATGCTGCTTATCATACAGTCATTATGCTCCAAAGAATGTCGCATCAGCATTTACATATAAGCGTGTAACTGCAGCTTTGCTTCTCTCTCTTCTGATTCCTTTATGTTTGGCCCTCTTTTCTCTCATGCTTATCTATTGACCTCTCTGTTTTTATGGGGGATTTTATGTCTGATGCTGGTTATGTTTCATCCATAGGATGCTCATGAATTTCTGAACTATTTATTGAATGAATTGGTGGACATACTGGAGAAAGAGGCTCGAGCTGCAAAAGCTGAAGCCGAAACTTCATCACCAACTGAAAAGATGTCAAATGGACCGACCAGCATGCATGCCAATGGTGCACAAAAGGAGCCTCTTGTCACATGGGTGCACAAGAATTTTCAGGTAACCTTACTTTGTTTTGCTAATTCACCCGCATTATTTCTTAATTGATGAGTTTTCCATATGCGGAAAGTGGCTGCATTATGTTTATATTCTTTTCCTCATGAGGTTACCTCTCTTGATTATTTTGCCAACTATTCTGTCTGAAGAATGGTGTTTAAGTGGTACTGTAGTGAGTGTGCTGTCTCTATGCATGATTGGAAATTAGTTTCGCTGCTATTCATTCTGAATTTGAAGCCATTTTTGTTTTGCTTTTCTCTTCAGTAAGTTGACCATTTTCGTATTTGCTATTTACCAGGGTATTTTAACCAATGAAACAAGGTGCCTACGCTGTGAGACCGTAACTGCAAGGGATGAAACATTCTTGGACTTGAGCCTTGATATTGAACAAAACAGTTCTATTACAAGCTGCTTGAAGAATTTTAGTTCCACCGAGACATTGAATGCTGAGGACAAATTTTTTTGCGACAAGTGCTGCAGGTAAGTCTTCTCTTCAATTTTCATTTTGAATTTTCATTAATCTAGAGTAGCTTTTTATGGTCGGTAAATGATTACTTCTCATTTTAAGTTAATTGACCTATGCCTGTGCTTTTTATGATTTCACTACCAGAAAATTTTAGAAACTTTCTTCTTTTTTTTTTGGTTGGTCAGCTTTGGGATTGTTATGGTGAAGATTTAAGTTCATTTTGAGCATAGCTTTCTGGGAGAAAGGCTTGCAGTAGTTTGGTAAAATGTGTCCTTTTTAGAAAATTTGGCTAATGCTCTTTGGGATTGTTATGGTGAAGATTTAAGTTCATTTTGAGCATAGCTTTCTGGGAGAAAGGCTTGGAGTAGTTTGGTAAAATGTGTCCTTTTTAGAAAATTTGGCTAATCCTCTTAACTAAATTTATAAGGTGTTAAATTGGTATTGGTATTGGTTATAAAATACCATCGCAGTTTACCTGTCTAAAACTTGTGTTAATGCTCTTCCAGTTTAGCATATTTAGCTCGAACTTTTGTAGTACACTATGAGAATAGATGCTTCTGTTGGTTAGCAACTGTGGGTCAAAGAAATTTGATGTGGATGTTAACTTGGATTAAGGTCCTGTTACATAGGGTACCCCTGGATTGGGACTTTTATGATTAAAAATGCGTTTTTGGTTTATTGGGTTGGTTCGAACTTCGTTATAGCATTATGAGGAAAGAGGCTTCTGTTTGTCTGCAACTCGGGGGTAGCTTTGGTGTGGTGACTTGAGTCTTGTGAATATGGTGTAAGAAGTAGGAAGTGATGTGCGGCTTCAGCTGTTTGAAAGCAGCACTTCAGATTCTTTGAGGAGATGACTGGTTTCTGTAAATACAGAATGAGGCATCTAACTGAAGTGGCTTTACCTTCTTGCAGTTTGCAGGAGGCCCAGAAGAGAATGAAAATAAAGAAGCCCCCTCATATATTGGTAATCCATTTAAAGCGATTCAAATATATCGAGCAGTTGGGGCGGTATAAGAAACTATCATACCGTGTTGTCTTCCCGCTTGAATTGAAGTTAAGTAACACTGTTGAGGATGCGGATGCTGAATATTCCCTATTTGCTGTCGTTGTACATGTTGGGAGTGGACCCAACCATGGACATTATGTCAGTCTTGTGAAAAGTCACAACCATTGGTTATTCTTTGATGATGAGAATGTGGAGATGATTGAGGAGTCCGCCGTACAGACTTTCTTTGGATCAGCTCAAGAGTACTCGAGCAATACAGATCATGGCTACATCTTGTTCTATGAAAGAACTGCTGCTGCTGGCAGAAGCTGAGAGGGCTAGTGATTCATAACTCATCATCAGCTTTCCATATCTCCCAATTTTGGACGGGACTTCTGTCGTGGACGGAATTTTTATTCTTTACCCTTACCTTCCGATGTATTCTAGGATATTTCGAACACCTACTAAGTCAAGCTGGTATGAGAAATATATGTATACTTTTAGGTTTGGTTCCATGTACAGTGGATGGTGTAGCTTACTGTCCTTTATTTTATTTTTGCCGGAAATAAAGGGGAATAGATGCAGTGTATATGGTGATGAAATGTTGTAGATTTTCATTTTCTGCTGTACTGCCTCTTATCTTAATTAACCGAGGTAAACCTAGTTTTGGAACATTGCATTTGCATATTTGACATGCAATTAATTTTACTCAACATCATTCATCTTGGTTACTTTTCTAAGTATTATGTCTGCACAAATCACTATGTCACATTACCCAAATAGCATCAGTTCCGAATTAAGAATTGCGTTAAATTGTTGACCCAAAATGGAAAAGCAAAGAAAGGTAGATGTTGTCTGAATCATGTCTTTATCTCCCCGTAATCTGCAATTTATTCTGCTGTTGTACTCTCAATTCTCAAAATGTTTCACAAATCTTGATCGACAAAAATTGATGACTAAGATGCACAGATTCAGCCTGACACTAATTGAATTTGAAGACATTTGACTCGATCCCCACTGTGAGAAAACTGCTCGTTGTTGACTCATAATCTAAAAATCTGCGGAAAAGTTAAGAAAATAACTGCAGTATCGGGATCTTTGAAAGCTGGATTCCAATGTAGTAGAGCAGGAAAAGGTGAACTTTGAGATCATAAGAATCAAGTCGCAAAAAATTCTGCCATATCTCTATTCATCCATCTCGCCACCAAATTCCTTCCATTTATATGTGCCAAAAGATGGCATTGTACTTGTCAAAGACAATCTACACATTCAACAGTTACTAATTCAGCAACATCTCTATTCTTCCATAACCACCAATACCGGTTCCTCGATACGAAAAAGATGCATTGAAGCAGATTTAGCTTACTGATTTCAATCTATCATACAAACCTATCTATCAAAGGCAGACGGTTAAACTAATTTACAATAGAAACTGACAAAGCATTTACGATTCTGGATACATTAGAGGATCATCGTCGCCTAATAAAGCCTCAAAGTCAAACAGATCTTCATCAAAATCAACAGTTTCATCTGAATTATTAAGGACCCTGTCATACTTGTCCTTGTCCTGCAAAATGAGAGAATAGCACCGGTCACTAACAAAAGAGCTCACTTTTCATGTTTTTATATTCTTCACTTAGAATGATGGGCTTGGAAGCTTTCTACACATCCTAACAGTTCAGTTTTCATTTTACTCACGGGGATATTTCTAACCAAATCTCAAGGATAACAAGATGGACTTAATTGTGCAAATTAAATCGAAACCTGGTTTGAATTGTCATGAAAGTGTACCTTAGTCTGCATTTCTGAAACAACATTGAGCAATCTCCTGTACTGATCTCTTGCCTCTGGATACTGGACCATTGACTTCACCCTAGCAAGAGCCTTCTCTAGCCGAACCTCTGTTTGCTTCCTACCTTCTTTCAAAAAGTCATAATCATCCTCTTTTGACGATGAGTCTTGCATGCTAGACCCATCAGCTGGTGCATCTGGTTTCAATACCCTCAATCCCCTTCCCTTCCTTCTCCACCGAAGAATCACTTTATCTAATATTCCAACAGACCAAATAATACTTCTATAATTCTTCCTTACTTGGTGTCCTCTCACATGAGCCTTCACAGAAAATGCCAAAATTTAGAATTTCATTTTTTTAAGAAAAAACCCTTGCATTGTGCCACTAAAAGAAAAGTATAAAAGAAATAGATGCGCGACTGAACAAAAGAGATCAAAATTACCTGTATTTTGATAACCCGCTGACGCATTCGCAGAAAATCCCTCCTGCCCTTCCAACTACGGAATTTGTTCTGTATGCGGATAGCAGCAGCATGCCCAGGTTCGTCATGTAGTCCTGCTTTCTTAGTTTTCCCAGAAAGAAGTGACAGAGCACGTCCACCAGATATCCCAAGCTCATTATCACCATAATCCTTCATCTGCTTTCTTTGAAACGACTGCACTCTAAAAACTTGATGTATGCGGGCTGCAGCTTGAGTAGCATTACGGACGGCAGCTAGTGAGTCTTTGAGAGACAGTCCATGTGGCAAGTCTCCATCTGCAATAGGAGTAGCAGTGCGCTCTGAAGCTGTTTCAACATCTTTCGCTCCTGCTGGTTCCTTGTTATCCTTCAGTTTAAGTGATAACAAATGGGAGCTCAAGGCAGCTTCAGCAAGATAGCCAGCAATTCCCTTATGCCCATTACTCGACGCGAGATCAGCAGCTGGTCTGCCTGAGGGATATTTAGGAGTTGGATCTGTCAAAGCTCCAGGGCTTGCTCCCAATGAGACCAGCAAAACCACTGTACGCTCTCTGACAGGAGAAAGTAAAAAAATGGAGCAAACCATAAAAATCCGAGAAGACAAGCTGGGTGAATGAACTTTGAATGTCAAAGATCAAGCTGGTAAATGACACATGTTTTCAGGAAAATCAGAGACTTTAACATGAAAGGAATAAGGGATGTCTGTGGTAAAAGTTGTGTTCCCCTTTGGTGGAAATCCATCTTTCTATAGGAAAGGCATTAGCCTAATCATACCGATAAATACATATTTAAATCTAATCCTATCCTATCTTAGAAATTTAAAAATTTAAGATAAAAATCAAAACAATAAAATCTGCCAACTGTTAATCTGCAAATCTTGGAAGATAAGCTGATTCCGTTGAAAGATACAGTAGCAGAAAGGAGGCAAAAGGTACTTTGTACACTTATCTGAAGCTCAAAACACAATTCAAAGTGGCCTACCTGCCATAAAATGCAGCCCAATGGAGTGCAGTCCATCCATTTATGTCTCGAAAATTGACACTAACTCCTGCAGCTAGTGTAGGTTGTATTGCCCAATCATAACCAAGGGCGGCAGCAAGGTGTAGCACCCCTTGACCACCCTCGTCCAATAAACTGGGCCCTTTACCACCTTCAGCAACCTTCTGGAGGAGCCAGAGGTGCAACTGGTTCTTCAGAAGCCGTTGTACTAAGTGGTCCTTCACTTTTTCAACTGAGAGCTTGTCAGAAGGAACATTTAGTGGATCTTCCCATTCATCGTCTTCCTCTTTCAATAATGCCTCAATTTTACTGCTCAAGTAGGAAGAATCACCCACATTGCTAGGAATAATACTTTTGGAAATATGAGAACCAACAGTCAAAAATTTTCCGAATCTCATAAGCAGCCTGCAGTCAATGCTTGCAATACTCGAATCGGGGAGATACTCTTCTTTAATATTGCCAACACGAAATTCGTATTCTCGAACTTCACTGCATGCTAACCTGTTGGAACATGTCACATAAAATGGTACCACCCCTGCCTCATGTACAGGTGTATGGCAACGAATAACACCGTCGCAAATAACCTCTGCTGGAACTTCTAGTTCACCAAACATACATGCCCATTTGTATTTGCCCAACTCCTGTTGGCTCTTCAAGAATCGTCCCGTTATTAGAACCTGGGGTATGATACATAACACCATAGAACATTATTAACTGTACATATTCGTTTTTATCACGTAATTAGGAAACCGTAAATAATCATAGTGAAACTTACATATTCCTAATAGTTCAATACATTTGTTATCTATCACTAATGCAACTGAAAGTAAGATCCAAGACTCGTAAAAGAACTAACTGGATATTAACAGGTGAAAAAGCTTTAAGCATACCTTCGTTTCTAAACCAGAATATCCCCAGTTGGGAGAAAAATCAATGATGCTGAATAATTGGTCCTGCGAAAGGGAGGGGCTCATCGTATATGTGTCTATATGTACTTGGGAAGATATGTTAGGATCACCCATTCCGTCGTCATCCCCAACACCCCCCCAATAGGACCCAGAGTTTGACTTTATGAGTGATTCATTAACATCTCCTAGTTCTTTACTCATCCAGCGATCAAAGCTATCCAGCTTCTTTAGACCCTCCTTCAAAACACCATCCAATAGAGGTTGTCTCAAGGTTGAATAACCAGTTTTCCCCTCAAGTCCCACACTACTACCCAATCCAGATTTCTCTGGAATATCTCCACCGATAAACTGTGCGCGAACATCATTCTGTGCAGCAGATTTGACCACATCTAATGTGCCTGATGAATTGTGCAACCCCACAGTGTTGATGCCAGTAAAGTTAGTAGTAATATCATTAGCTGACTGTAGATGCATCTTCTGATCAATGGGCCACTTGGATATGTACGAGGGATCACCTTCAAAATTCTGCTGGCATTTTTAAATTTGAGAAGTTAGCAGTGTCAACAGGAAAATTTAGATTAAGGCAGACTAATGTGGCAGACAATCTTGTGCTCTACATGCAACCCAGAAAAGAAAAAAAAAATCACCAAAATTTTATACAATACTTATTCAAACTAAACCATTCAGGAAAAAATATTTGAGCATATAACTGAACTGATGCCTTACTACAAGCAGGAGCCATGAGACCCTACGCTCTTCATTTTCTTTACTAAGAACCTGATTCTATGATATCTTAACAACTGACGAGCAAAAAGAAAAGAAACTGTTTACTTGTGCTTGAAACTTTTCGAAGTCAATATTTACCTGCCACTGCTCCATGCCATCTGCATGAACCCCAAAGTCCTGTCTTTTACCCACACCATCAGTAAAAACTTGTCCAAACGTATCATTCGCTCCCCCATGCATCATACCAATGGTTTTAGCTTGAGGTGCATCGCCTGATGGCCCAAAACTGATAGGCTGAACCTCAGCACTTCTGTTTTCAAAGATATCTCCCCATGATGCAAAGTCAGGCTGACCGGTCATATAAGTTATGCCAGCACTCATGGTGTTTCGATCTCTCTCTCCTTGTGCACTAGAGACAAAATCGATATCAGGAACAGCTGAAAGATTCCCTTGGTAACTATCTGTCATTTGAGAAGTGTCATTTAATCAAACATACACTCAAAATGTAATCAAACATCCACTCAAAAAGCAGCAAGTGGAATATTGGTATCTAAGAGCTAAAAACAGAATGAGAAGACAAGATCTTATTACTTGAAGTAGGGACCGGATGATAAGGTACAGATGGTCCATCATCCCCATTTGGCAACACAGGTGGTTGTAACTCAAGGAAAGAATGGAACCCAGAATTTGAATGCTGCCTGTATGCTGGAAGAATTTTATCACATTGAACTTATTAGTTAAGCTCAATTTAGAAAATTATGATTGTTGTCGAGGTAAATTCAAATATTTGCATCGCAAGAAATTGTGTCAATTATCATAAGAAGGATATCTGGCACACCTGATTCTGCATCCTCATATTCAGAGGCCGGGGCACTGGAATCTGTAACTTGAGAAGTGACATGATAATCATATTGATTCATAACTGAAGTCGAGGAACTAGTCACATCAGATGTAGGTATATCATCTTCAGTGTCTTGGATATTAGCATTAACTTCTCCAGCTCCTCTTATCCGATTGAAATTAGCTCTGTTGCCCTAGAGGATCAGAAAGAATTGAACAGGTTCTTATTAATTGCACCAGTTGCATACTAAAAATATCCACCACAGTTCAAGTAGTCAAGAACGGATCTAACAATATGCTCCACTAGTCACTATTTGCAAAAACAAATATTAAAAACTCACATCTCCCCACAAATAAGAAATTGAGAAATGATATTATAGGTTCAGGAGGCGATAAACAAGTCAATTAGAGGTAGATAGAGAAGTTCACAACACAACTATGTGGATAATTGGTGAAACCCCTGAATCTTTAAATCTTCCAAAAGACAGGAAACAACATTGCAGAATAGAAGATGAAGTTGTTTGCAACAGGCATGCAACACAAAAATCGACTAAATGTGTCAATAAAATCACCAATCCACCAGAGAAAAATGTAATTTGCATAACAAAGGAAAGAGAGAAGGTACTCCACCTTTACTTCTCGGTAGTGGACAAGTACTATATTTGAACGTTCTCTGTAAACACGCACCAAAAACAAGAACAAATAATCAGAAAATCCATAAGATCCATACAGGTCAAAATCTTATTGAGAGAAAACAGCATGTAATTGATCTTGCAAGGTATGTTTCTTCCACACATACTAAGACGGTTAGCAGCAATAATAGGTACACAACCAAGAAAAAGCCTTTGCTCGCTCTATGAATTTCCAACATAATCTGTGGACCGAAATTGATAGTTTTAACTAACACTCTAGAGTTTACACATATATTCATAGCTTACTTTTTCTCATTTTTAAGATCTATTGTCTTCATGGAGATCACGCGGGAATCATTCCAATTTTAACTGATATGACTGCAATTTCGGAGCATTAAGTGTTTCCTTTTCAAAAAGTTAAATCCCAAATACCAAAAACTCAGAAGGTAATTGCCCATCTTAACCATGTAAACTACATATTCCTAAAGTCCTAAATGTACAACAATTTATCAATTCTGCCACATACGTGCGCACACATGTGTGAAGCCAGAACTCTAGAGAAATGAGTTGAAAATCCTCTTGGCCGTTTACACTCATTATTATTTTACAATAAAAGAGGAGGGTTATTTAGAAGTGACCCCAATTGTGATAGTTCCAATATTTAGATAAAACGGAAAAACAATAAAATAACACAACTGCAACAATTCAACAGAGAAAATCAAATCTTCACTTACTCTTCAAGCATCCAGTAGCTGCGTCTCTGAAAATTTTCATTTTCTTCTCCGTGTGCATAATAACAATGCAAGACATCAACACTTCCAGACTGAAGAAAAGGCATTTTGTTTTAGAATTAAGGTAAGAACTTAGTCTCACATTAAAGAAATAACATCTCAAATCAAAGCAAAATACTTTTCATCTTAAAAGAAGCAATAAAACAAATCTCGTACATTATAATCAGCAACACACAACAATACTTAGAAAATCATTGAAAAAGGAACAATGTAAGTAAACCTTAAGTTAGAAAAAAGGATGCAGCAAACCTTAAGCCTCTCGTGAGCCTCTTTGACTGTTTTTCCATCTTTCTTTTTTCTCCAGTTGTGGCCATCTTTCCGAAAGTAGCGTAATACTTTGCGATCAAACAGAAAGAGAGAACCATCTGAAAATAACATAAACAGAGTTATTTGCAGTAAACATGACCTCAAACAAGAAATTTTCCAGAGAGAAGTCAAATCAAAGTGACCCTAAGATCTTGCTTGTTGTGCCATGAGGAAATATTGAGCAAGACTACATGTCTAAGAAACTTCCAGCAGCAAACAACTATTCTAAGCACAATATCGTAGACTAATAAGCTCTACCGTTAAGAGTTTCTATCCATCCACATTATACAGTCTAGAACTGAAAGAGTGACAACCAAAATGCAGACCGCTTAACTCTTCTTTCCAAGAAAAATTTTACTTCAGTATAGAATGTATACCAAAGGCACAGTATTGAAAGTGAAAAAGGCAATTCTAGTTAAGATCATTAATCTATAATGGTTTTAGTAGAGTCACTTTCAACTGTATCATGCAGATCCTATAGAGGAATATATTTGAAGATGTCTTAATATATGTTATATCAATAATCGCCTATTAATCAGTGAAGCTAAAGAAAATATTATTAGAAATGAGAAGTAAATGAAGTTGACATTGATTCTAAGAGTGCCTATGCTTACGTATATCATGGGCCACAAAAGAAGTAAATTTTCCCACCTAAATGTGGAGTCCGAAGAGGCCATGACTGACATTGCTAGAAAAATACACACGGGTTGAATGCAATAAGAATGAAAGTAGCTAAAACTCCCAGTTTTTTATGACGAGAATGCAAAACGATGTTTGAGCAGGTTTCTTTGTTAAACATAAAATCAGTTTTGAGCAGGTTTCTTGTAAAATGATCAGGTTTTATTGTAAAATTATGTTTGACCAGGTCTTATTGTTATACATAAGATCAGGTTTTGATAGAATTGGTCACTCTTGTCTTACAAATCAATTTGCCAGCTGGAATGCTGTTCCACACATATACTTGTATAAGTTAATTAGTCTATGGAAGAAGGGTTGTAAAAGTGGGATGATGCAATGACATCCACAAGTATAAGTTGGATAACGAATTGCTGTTCCTCCCAATGTTGAAAATGTAAAATGACCTTCAAGCAGATTGTACTAGCGTATCACATCACGTAGATTCGTAACTGTGATTTAATTATTCTAGTTTCACAAATCAATTTACAAGAATACTGTAATGATGCCCATATGTTAAGTAAGAATATCAAGTACCAAGAAATCTAAAATGTTTGAATAACCACTAAAGACTCCTACAAAGAGAAAGAGGAGAGGATGATCAGAATCATACTTGGAGGCCTATTTGGAGGCTCAGGAGCAATTTGAAATCTTTGGTGGTTTTGCAGTATTTCACAAATTTCAGCAGGACGAAGCCACCGATGTTGCGCCTCCAAAAGTATCTGTTCAATATCTGCAGTCACAGACAGGAAAAGGAGTTATTTTACAAGTTACAAGTATACTGGTACTCCTGTTATGTGTAAAATAAACAGTAACTGAGCAACATGTTATCCTGATGAAAATGGAGCCAAGAGTGTATTCTTGCTGGCAAAAGGCAAAACACATTATTCGGCATTCACTTACACATTTTTATCCAAGTCAAACAATAATTACGAAAAGCACATATACACAATTGTACCTTAAAGTGATTAGAGAATTGATATATCAGCAGTAAAATTATAGAGTTGTATCCATCACTCAGAACTTCACTAAGCATCAAAAAACATTTAACCTTACTCACAAAACAGATGACTTCAAATTTGTGTTTGTGACACATGAACCACAGAACAACTTGGGATGCACTGAGGAAGAAGTCTGGTTCTAAAGTTTAAAAATATTTTTATGAACGCAAATAGATGCCTTGGAAATTACATTACGAGGCAACAGACACTATTTGAAAGGCATTTCATGACCTACCAATCTATAAAAATAAAAGGTGGAGAACAGAATATTGTAATCAAGTGTTGTACGATATGACCAAAAGACTTTCCAGTTTCCTCCACGTAATTAATTCTAACATCACTCTTTGCTTTACATAATGAGACAATGTTCTCTAACTTGGAAATGGCACATCAACAACCTAATTCCAACCATTAAAGTTGCTTTAAAGGAGGACATGAGCCAGCAATTAGAATTCCCATGCATGCACCAACGCCCCTATCAAAATATGCTTCTTATTCTAGGGGATGGGAAGAAAAGGTGGGTTCTGTCGGCTCATTTTTTTTATCAGTATTTCTGCTTAGCAAATCTAAGGAAGAGCTAAATTCTATTCTCATGAGGAACGAATTATAGGTTCCCTGAACATTGTTATTTGCAGCTGAATTCATTGGAAGCCCTTATTGGCTTGCACTTTTGCCATGAAATCAAAGAAATATGTTTGTTTCGTTTTTTTAGTGTGTGTTTTTAGGTGTTTTTGGTATTGAAAATGTAAAAGGGTGTATTGGAAATGTAAAAAGGTATGCTGGGATGGGACAGTTATTATTTAAATATTTTGAAAATACCATCAAAAAATCCTAACAAACAAAGTTTTGCTACTTTTTTTGTTTTTTGAAAGGGTGTTTTGCAACTATTTGAATTATACAGGCTCTCCCACATCAAGTAAGTAAATACCCCAGATACAAACTAATTTCACTATCTCGTGTTTCTCTTGCTATAGTTTCATCACAGAGTTCTACAGCATAAAATAATTCCCTAATAAGCAGATAAAAGCTCTTAAGAATTCTAGAAAAAAGGCCAATCACAATAGCAACCGCACAAACACAAAGAATAGTGTGATTCAAACTCCATAAAACCAAAACTAAGTAACCATAATTTTCAAACAAACCAAATATCCGATCAACAGAACCTAAAATATGTTCAGCAAAAAGAAAAAAAACAAAAACAAAAAGATCAACAAATTGAAGTAAAGATAAAAGACTAAAAGAGTAAAGAACGACAAACCTAATTGCGCCCCAGGAGGAGCGTATCGTCGAATATCTGCCATCTCCAGGATTGTCAACAACTCAATTAACTTGAGATTTTTACACCCTAACTACAAGAAGCACAAAATTTTAGCTACCGAAAATTGCTCGGTTCGAAAAGGGAAAGAGTAAAAATCAGCCAGAGTAAGTTAAGTCAAGAACAGGAAGAAAAATACTACTGTCGAAAGAAAAGAAGATGAGAAGGAAGGGGAAGAAGTAACAGAGGAAGGTGAGGACCAAAAGGAAAGTGGCAAGAAATTCAGCCGCCAAATTGGAATACAGTTTGACGTTCACACCTTTGACGAGTGAGAGAGAAAGACGGTTATAGTGTGGAGCTTCTTTTACTCATTGTGCTTACTGTGTGTGTAGGTGAGAGAGAATGAATATTCATAATAGTATATATACTACTAGTACTACTGTCTACTCCTCCATCAGAGCAGTAGTAGTATTATTTGGCACTGTGTGAGTGTGTGAGAGAGAAAAGTGAGCTGGGAAGATATAATGGGGTATGACTCTGGTCAATTGTATTTTAGACGACGTCCATTTGACTTTTTCTAATTTCACCTGCGCTTTAAGCCTTTAATAACGACGTGTACCGTGTACGTACACTACGACACAAATCGGTATTTTAAAAAGCCGGGTAGTGTTAAGAAATCTGTATCTATATCTATTTATCTCTATCTCTATCTATCTATACTAGTGATGTCTGGTCGCGCAATGCGCGATCCTGGCCCAGTCTATCTGTAGATCTCGGAAATGTTTATATTTGAAAAAAAATAAAATTTTGTATTTGGAGCGATATATTTTAGAAATGTTTGAAGGATTTAGAAATGGTTTATAAGTGTGATCATAGAAATATTTGTATTTCACAAAAAAAAAAAAATTGTATTTCGCCATGTATGTTTTAGAAATGTTTTATAAGTGTTATTTATTAAATATAAATAGACTTAATCGAATATATGTGTTGAAATAAATGTTAGATAAAATATAAAAGGATCCTAATAAGTTTAAATATTAGTAAGATGATTTATTGATGTTCTCCATTGGTCGTGCCAAATTAATACTTAGTTTTGGAGATTTTTAATAGCTTTGTAATAAGTTTCATCCGAAGGGTATAAGCTTAAAACAAAATTTACACTTTGTAACAAAAACTTAATTGATCAATTCAATTTAGAAAACAACTCTAATTGAATGAAACATAAAGAAAAAATTCAAAAAAAAAGTGTCAGGTAAAGTGCAAAAGGAAATTTAGTAATTTAGTTATAGTTAGACAAAAGGACAATTTAGTACTTTCTTCATGCCACGTGGCAATCATATGAGATGTGTGAAAGGGAGGTTTTTGTTTCTAATATAGTAGGATATATATATATATAGGGAAAGTTTTCAATCGGACACATGACGTAATATTAGATAGACTAATACACATGGTAAAAAATTAGATAGTCAAGTCCACGTGTCGCGTTCACATCACTCCATCATTTAACAGTAACTTTTATTTGTAAATCCGTAAAATCTATAATTAACTAATTTTACCCGATTTATTTGTGTAGAAAAATAATATATCAACTTAAAAGGGAAAAAACAAAAGGAACACCGAATTAATCTAAGATAAGCACTTATCTTAATTAGAGTTATGTATTACGGAATTAAAATACTTGAAAAATAATTAGGCAGCGAATACATAGACACCTTTTTTCTCTATTTTTTTTATTTGTATCTTTTTTTCCTAAATCTAAGAATCCAAATTAATTATAGGATGTGAAAAGTGAACTATAATTTAAGTATTATCTTGGAATTACTTTTTAAATATTATGACTAATGCAGTAAAATTAGACATTTACAACATAGTTAATGGGTTGAAACGTTTAAAAAAATGTTTGAGACGTGACCAAAAGAAACTAATTTTTTTTTTTTAAAAAAAGAAGAAGATGAACATGTAAGACTTCTAAAACGATAAAGATCCGTATATAATTTTATGTAACCACATTTTACAATACTACCTAGAAAATAAATTTAACATGCTCCATCTATCTCAAAACGATTTGACTAAAATGAAAATCCAAATTGGATAATCATATTAGAACAAAAAGATTATTTATTCGATAGTAATCATTAAATTCTAATCAATCTGAGTAACGGTCGAACATAATTAAATGTTAGTATATAACAAATGAGGTAGGTTTTTTTTAAAAAAAAAAATATAAAAAAATAGTATTTAAATTAATTTATTCCTTATAATATTGACGGGTCCAGATAAAAAAAAATAATAAGATACATATTTTTGATTGCCCAGAATCAAAATTGTTTCATTGTAGTTAAGAAATTAATACTCCATACCGATGCTAAATATTTTCATTTTAATTTTTGCAGTTTTCTTTGCATATGCATCTTGGATATCAGGTTTGGCAAGCGATTTTCATTGATGAATCTTCTAATATTGATGAAAATTGGTAATATGTAGTAAAATTTAAAAGAACTAATTAGATAATTCATTATATTTTTTTCGTATGATATAATGGTAGAAAAAATTAACGTTATGTTGATAAAACAAAACGTAAAGATTGATAGAAGAAAAATTCCAAAACGAGAAAAAGAATAAAGGTGTTTGTGAGAGACAAATAGTTGAAGAAAAGTATATTGAAAAATTGAAAATAATTATATGGAGAAAAAAATTATGTAGAGAATAAGAAAATATGAAAAAAGAATCCAGGGTAATGTTGAAAATGAAATAGTTATTTCAAGTTTTTCAAGAAATGAAACTTTAAAGATAGGCCATCAAATTTAAAAAAAAAAAAAAAGGGTGAAGACTATGTAACCGAGAAAAAAATGAAGTAAACATTACATTATAGAGAAAAAAAACAAACAAACTTCTAAAGAAAGGTTGCAAATGGTATATAGAGAGATGAAAAATAAAGATAAGTTTATTGAAAGAAATAATGAGAAAATTTTTTGTTAGAGGGGAAATTTAAAATATATGACACGAGTAGAAATATTTAGAGAGATCATTATAAAAAATTAAGAGGATACTTTTAAAAAAATACTTAAAGTAATTCCTATACATTGACAACCGTACAACATGGTACATTGTAAAGAAAACAATATAGCGTAAAGGGATAGTTTGCTTATAGGAAAAAATAACACAGTATATTATAAGAAAAAAAATGAACATGAACAAACTTCTAAAGAAAAGTTACAAAAGTTATATAGAAAGATGAAAAATAAAGATAAGTTTATGGAAAGAAACGATGAGAAATATTAGGTGAGAGTTTAAGAGATATGACGCAAAATATTTAGAGAGATGATTATGAAAAATTAAGAGAATACTTTTAAAAAATATAAACTCATGAATCAACAAAGCGAAAAAGATAACAAGTTACATTAGATTATTTCGAATATTGAAAATTATTCCAAATGTACTTAAAACAACAAAACACATTGACATTAAAAATTACACAATATCAATTTATATCATTAATAAGTTTTTTTACGTATATATCTATAGGAAATGTCATATAATCGTTAAATCATTAACCTCATATAAATCTTAAACAACCCGCACAACGTGCGGAGTAAACACTAATATATATTAAGAGAGAGTTTTTAATCGGACACATGGCGCGATTTTAGATAGGCTAATCCACGTGGCGAAAAATTAGAGAGCCAAAGTCCACATGTCGCAACCACATCACTCTATTATTTAACAGTAATTTTTAATTTATAAATTCATAAATATGTAAATAATCAATTTGATCTAGTAGATAAAATAACGAAAGCTTAATCAATTTGAATATTCCCGCACAGTTGGGACATTGATATAAATTGACCATGCGTAAAAGTTAAATCGTTAACTACATAACTAAGTGGATTAATATCATTTTTAAAAAAATTTGTAAAATTTAATAAATAAATAAAATTTTATTTATTGCATAAATTTTTTTTATGAAAATATCATAATATGAGCTTAATGCCCCGGATAAAATGTAAAATTTAATAAATAATTAATTTTACTTATTACATAAATAAGTAAATTATAAGTGTAGATTAATTATTATTATATATATAAAAGGAGAGTTTTTAATATTAATCTTAAGAAAAAAATTATATAAACTAAAGAAGAAAATTAATCTTTCAAAATATTATTAATTTTCTATTTATATAATTCATTGTTATATATGATATTTATGTATATATTACTTTTCATCATGTAAATGTGTGAGTTGTCCACCAAGGGCACTTATAAGTATAAATTAAGAAACCTTATAAACCTCTAACACAAACATAAAAATATATGAAAATAAACAATTTTGTTCTTTGATAAAATAGGGGATTCCGCCCAATCTTATACTCACTCTGTCAAAAAATTATTGTCCAATTTGAGGTTTATATTTTAGTATAATTTGAACTAAAAATCAAAATCCAAACTGAACAATAATTTTAGGACAAAGGGAATAATTACTAATTGCGGTGAACAGTGGCAGAGCGCGGGGACCAGTAGGGGCGCTCGTTCCCTTGCCCGAATTTCCTATAGGATCTCTTTGAAATTTTAAGCTAAAATCTCTAAATATTTATATTTTTTCCTGGTAAATATTTTTTAAATATTTTTGCGTCTCCATTCTACAACTCATGACTTCGTCACTGACAGTGAAGACATGATCTACCAAACATCAGAAATTCACAAGTCAATAATAAAGCATGCATACTTCCAATTAATGCTTCGCCTCTGTTACATAATTATTGTTCAGTTTGGATTTTACTTTTTAGTGCAATTTGAACTAAAACTACAAACCCAAACTGGACAATAATTTTGGGACGGAGGGAGTATGAGCGTAATTACCCCACATAAAACGGACATCAACATGGGAAATCCAAAATAGACTAGATATATATGGATTTTAAATTTAAACTTAATTAAAAATAAGGAAAAAAAAAAAGAAAAACCGATTACCTTTAATGATTATTATAGTCATTAAATCCATAACGATACTAATCAACTACGTCAATGATGTATTAATTATGTATACATTACTAAATAATTTATTTAGGAAAAAAAATTCAAGAAATATAATATAATAATTGACCCAATTTATGTGTCTAAAAATTATAATATCAATAAATGTGATGTTATGGGTCAATATAAGAATTATGTAATCTATAATAAATTATAACGTGTAATTTTAGAATGTCGTAATATCATAAAAACTATGTAATAATTGATTCAATTTATTTCAATAAATGTATAATCATAAATTATAAGTTTAGAAAAGCAATGAAAAGTTGCAAAATACTAACTTCTAAAGGGAAAAAAAATTACTAACAAACTTCTAAAGAAATGTTACAAAAAGGTATATGGGGAGAGGGAAAATTATATAATTTCATGGAAAGAAAAACACATTTATAAATTCAAAATAATTATATGGAGGAAAAAATTATGTAGTAAGAATAAGAAAAATTAAAAAAAAAAAGAAACTGAGATAATAGTGAAAAATGAAATATTTTTTAAGAATGAATGTGTGGTCATCAAATTTTGA